TTCTAGTCGATTGCCGTAACCAGCGTCTCATCGATGGCGTAACGTCGCTCACAGTTGCTATACCACGTCATACTTCAACAGAGGCAATCTCATCTGTTCGAACAACCATCGACGACTGCGCTTACCATCGTCTACTGAGAGAGTTTCCTGACCTCACTCGTCCTGCTGGTAAGCAAAAGTTAATTAGGCATTCAACGGTACACTACATCCGCACTACTCCGGGTCCACCTGTAACCGGTCGTCCGCGTCGCTTAGACCCTGAGCGCCTGAAGATTGCAAAGCAGGAGTTCGATGAGATGCTACAAAACGGCACGGCGCGCAGATCCGATAGCCCTTGGTCTTCGCCACTGCATTTAGCTCGCAAGAAGAACGATGGCTGGAGACCTTGCTGTGATTACCGTTCATTGAACGCACGCACAATCCCGTAAAGGTACCCCATCAGACACTTGCAGGATTTTACACACCAGCTGGCCGGAAGTACTGTCTACTCAACATTGGACTTGGTTAAAGCCTACAACCAGATACCAGTTTTTGAAGCTGACGTATGCAAGACCGCAATCACAACACCATTCGGCTTATATGAGTTCCCGTTCATGGCTTACGGCCTCCGAAATGCCGCTCAAACGTTCCAGCGCTTCATGGACGAGGTTCTCCGGGGATTGGACTTCTGTTTTGGATACTTGGATGACATCCTGGTATACAGCTCCAACAGCACGCAGCATCAGCAACACCTCAGGCAACTTTTTCAAAGACTGACGGAATACGGCGTTCTAATAAACACCAACAAGGGCGTTTTTGGGCAGTCTGAGGTCGACTTCCTAGGATATAAGGTTTCAGCAGCGGGAATCCAGCCACTGGATGCAAAGGTACAGGCTATTCGAGAATTCCCTCCACCAAAAACCGTCAAGGAACTCAGACGTTTTCTTGGAATGGTAAACTTTTATCGCCGCTTAATCCCAAATGCAGCTACCATTCAAGCTCCACTGAACCAAATGCTTGCTGGTCCAAAGACGAAAGGTTCGCAACCTATCAACATGACACCCGCTCTGTTGGAAGCATTTAATAACTGCAAGAATAGTCTTTCTGAAGCCACACTATTGGTACACCCTGATTCACAAGCAGAGTTGGCGATTCATACAGATGCTTCAGATTCAGCAATAGGGGCAGTCTTGCAGCAATACCAGGACAACGAATGGAAACCACTAGCATTCTTTTCCAAGAAGCTAAGTCCAAGCCAGAGGAAGTATAGCCCTTATGATCGCGAACTTCTTTCCATCTACGAAGCCATCAAACACTTCCGCTTCATGGTCGAAGCACGAAATTTCGCGATTATAACAGACCACAAGCCACTGACGTTTGCTTTTACAACGCACCGAACGAGTTGCTCGCCACGCCAGTTTCGCTACCTTGACTTCATCAGCCAGTTTACCACGGACATCAGATATATCGCCGGAAAGGATAATATAGTCGCTGATACTCTGTCCTGCATTAATGAAATTTCTATGCCCTTAGACTACCAGTCCCTAGCCAGTGAGCAAGACACCGATAGCGAGCTACATGATCTGCTGAAGAACGGCTCTGCCCTGAAGTTGGAGAAGCTTAGGACACCGAGACAGGATCTGCAGATATACTGTGACGTCTCCACCCCGAATCCGCGGCCATTTATCACACCTTCGTTCCGCAGACAGGTATTCAACGCACTACATAACTTGAGTCATCCAGGAGCGAAGGCTACTGTCAAGCTGGCGACGCAGAGGTTCGTCTGGCCTGGCATTAAGCGGGATTGTAGGCAATGGGCAAAGGAGTGCCAGCACTGTCAACGATCCAAGGTAGCTCGTCACACTTCAGCACCGCTCGCATCATTCATGCTACCTTCAGCACGATTTCGGCATATACATCTTGACCTGATCGGTCCCTTACCGTTATGTTCTGGGTACAGGTACTGCCTCACGATTGTCGACCGCTTCACCCGTTGGCCTGAGGCGTACCCACTCCAGGACATGACAGCAGAGACGTGCACCATCGCTCTAACAAATGGATGGATTTCACGCTTCGGATGTCCAGAACACATCACCACAGATCGCGGCAGACAGTTTCTATCGCACACTTTCAAGGAGCTCGCCGCGCTGTTCAGTGCAACACACCACACTACCACATCTTATCACCCAGCTGCCAATAGTCTAGTGGAACGACTGCACCGCCAACTGAAGACCGCCATCACTTGCCACTCGTCTTCAAACTGGGTTGAAGTTCTACCATGGGTCCTCCTCGGTATCCGCAGCGCCTGGAAAGAGGACTTCCAATCATCGGCAGCAGAGCTAGTCTACGGTGAACCACTCCGTTTGCCTGGACAGTTCTTTTCCCCAAATCCCACTACGGAGACGGACCCGACCACCGTGGCTGGTAGACTACGCGCGCACGTCAGTAGATTGACCCCACAACCTACGTCTTGGCATGGCAGTACCAGTCGAATATTTTATGTGCTCAAAGACCTCAGAACTTCGACGCATGTCTTCGTCCGCCAAGGTCCCGCAAGAAGACCACTTGAGGCACCCTACTCAGGCCCCTTCAAAGTCGTGAGACGTGACTCCAAAACATTCGACGTAGAAATCCAGGGCAGGACTCAAAGGATCTCAATTGACCGCCTAAAGCCAGCGTATGTTGCCAGAGAGACCGCAGAGACCATTCCACAAAACCGAAGTTACTATGGTCAAACTACCACCAAAACGACCCGAAGCGGACGCACAGTAAGGTTTCCGGATTACTATCGCCCGTAGTTACGGTCTCAACGGGGGAGTAGTGTGGCGAGTAAATTAGTAGCTAGAACGGACCTAAAGATCACGCCACCACTACGTCATACATCGGACGATATCCTACGTCGTCGTTAAGCAACACCTGCTGATAGGGGCGCATGCGTTCCCATTGGTCGTAATGCCAGCAGAGTTCGATGGCCGCCTGTGTACCTATTGTTCTCATCGATGGCGGCATGGGCGGAGTTCAATGGCCGCTTGCGCATGTATTGTGTTCGCTGTGAATACGACCAATCAGTATGTAGTTTAAGATAAACAACATATTGCGATTTTAATTATTATTAATTATTTTTACCTATATAAGCAATGTTTCCAATACTATTCTGTACTTTTGTCTAACTTGTACTTACGCGTTAATAAATATAGTTATTAGTGGTCTGCAGTAATTTATTTACTAGTTATAACGGCATATGATCCTACTCCTATGCATCTACAATACCAACATAATGTTACCCTGGTAATATGTGAAACATACTAGGCCCTGCAATTTTTGTCATACGCGAGATACAAGCACACACGTATACATGCACACATGTATAATGAATAGTACGTCTATTATAGACTGTTGAAACACTTAACTTTTACATGAAAAATAAGAACAACAGTTTACATATCAAACAAAACTGCTTGCAATTTGTCCCAAAAAATATTACGCGCTTTTTACCACAATATTTTCGGAGGTTTTGCAAACGTTGTTTTTGGCACGGCAAACAATACAACAGATGATGTGATAAATCCTATGAGCACTGAAGCAAAATATTTCGCACTTCAAATAGCGTTGCAAGCATATTTAGTAAGAAATTTGTAAAGCTTATTTTATTTATTTAACAATTTATGTACACACAAACAACGGAAAGGACACAACATGATGAAGAGTTTCTACAAGGGCGCTACTTATCTCATAATGAAATTTCTTCCAATAGGCCAGTTAAAAAGATGTGATAAATAAAAGATAATAACGTGTGCGCTTTGTTATTATATACACATACACACATACATATATTTAAGATAATATATTTATATACATATATATATATATATATATACTTATCTCATAATGAAATTTCTTCCAATAGGCCAGTTAAAAAGATGTGATAAATAAAAGATAATAACGTGTGCGCTTTGTTATTATATACACATACACACATACATATATTTAAGATAATATATTTATATACATATATATATATATTTATTTATATTATCTTTTATTTATCACATCTTTTTAACTGGCCTATTGGAAGAAATTTCATTATGAGATAAGTAGCGCCCTTGTAGAAACTCTTCATCATGTTGTGTCCTTTCCGTTGTTTGTGTGTACATAAATTGTTAAATAAATAAAATAAGCTTTACAAATTTCTTACTAAATATGCTTGCAACGCTATTTGAAGTGCGAAATATTTTGCTTCAGTGCTCATAGGATTTATCACATCATCTGTTGTATTGTTTGCCGTGCCAAAAACAACGTTTGCAAAACCTCCGAAAATATTGTGGTAAAAAGCGCGTAATATTTTTTGGGACAAATTGCAAGCAGTTTTGTTTGATATGTAAACTGTTGTTCTTATTTTTCATGTAAAAGTTAAGTGTTTCAACAGTCTATAATAGACGTACTATTCATTATACATGTGTGCATGTATACGTGTGTGCTTGTATCTCGCGTATGACAAAAATTGCAGGGCCTAGTATGTTTCACATATTACCAGGGTAACATTATGTTGGTATTGTAGATGCATAGGAGTAGGATCATATGCCGTTATAACTAGTAAATAAATTACTGCAGACCACTAATAACTATATTTATTAACGCGTAAGTACAAGTTAGACAAAAGTACAGAATAGTATTGGAAACATTGCTTATATAGGTAAAAATAATTAATAATAATTAAAATCGCAATATGTTGTTTATCTTAAACTACATACTGATTGGTCGTATTCACAGCGAACACAATACATGCGCAAGCGGCCATTGAACTCCGCCCATGCCGCCATCGATGAGAACAATAGGTACACAGGCGGCCATCGAACTCTGCTGGCATTACGACCAATGGGAACGCATGCGCCCCTATCAGCAGGTGTTGCTTAACGACGACGTAGGATATCGTCCGATGTATGACGTAGTGGTGGCGTGATCTTTAGGTCCGTTCTAGCTACTAATTTACTCGCCACACTACTCCCCCGTTGAGACCGTAACTACGGGCGATAGTAATCCGGAAACCTTACTGTGCGTCCGCTTCGGGTCGTTTTGGTGGTAGTTTGACCATAGTAACTTCGGTTTTGTGGAATGGTCTCTGCGGTCTCTCTGGCAACATACGCTGGCTTTAGGCGGTCAATTGAGATCCTTTGAGTCCTGCCCTGGATTTCTACGTCGAATGTTTTGGAGTCACGTCTCACGACTTTGAAGGGGCCTGAGTAGGGTGCCTCAAGTGGTCTTCTTGCGGGACCTTGGCGGACGAAGACATGCGTCGAAGTTCTGAGGTCTTTGAGCACATAAAATATTCGACTGGTACTGCCATGCCAAGACGTAGGTTGTGGGGTCAATCTACTGACGTGCGCGCGTAGTCTACCAGCCACGGTGGTCGGGTCCGTCTCCGTAGTGGGATTTTGGGAAAAGAACTGTCCAGGCAAACGGAGTGGTTCACCGTAGACTAGCTCTGCTGCCGATGATTGGAAGTCCTCTTTCCAGGCGCTGCGGATACCGAGGAGGACCCATGGTAGAACTTCAACCCAGTTTGAAGACGAGTGGCAAGTGATGGCGGTCTTCAGTTGGCGGTGCAGTCGTTCCACTAGACTATTGGCAGCTGGGTGATAAGATGTGGTAGTGTGGTGTGTTGCACTGAACAGCGCGGCGAGCTCCTTGAAAGTGTGCGATAGAAACTGTCTGCCGCGATCTGTGGTGATGTGTTCTGGACATCCGAAGCGTGAAATCCATCCATTTGTTAGAGCGATGGTGCACGTCTCTGCTGTCATGTCCTGGAGTGGGTACGCCTCAGGCCAACGGGTGAAGCGGTCGACAATCGTGAGGCAGTACCTGTACCCAGAACATAACGGTAAGGGACCGATCAGGTCAAGATGTATATGCCGAAATCGTGCTGAAGGTAGCATGAATGATGCGAGCGGTGCTGAAGTGTGACGAGCTACCTTGGATCGTTGACAGTGCTGGCACTCCTTTGCCCATTGCCTACAATCCCGCTTAATGCCAGGCCAGACGAACCTCTGCGTCGCCAGCTTGACAGTAGCCTTCGCTCCTGGATGACTCAAGTTATGTAGTGCGTTGAATACCTGTCTGCGGAACGAAGGTGTGATAAATGGCCGCGGATTCGGGGTGGAGACGTCACAGTATATCTGCAGATCCTGTCTCGGTGTCCTAAGCTTCTCCAACTTCAGGGCAGAGCCGTTCTTCAGCAGATCATGTAGCTCGCTATCGGTGTCTTGCTCACTGGCTAGGGACTGGTAGTCTAAGGGCATAGAAATTTCATTAATGCGGGACAGAGTATCAGCGACTATATTATCCTTTCCGGCGATATATCTGATGTCCGTGGTAAACTGGCTGATGAAGTCAAGGTAGCGAAACTGGCGTGGCGAGCAACTCGTTCGGTGCGTTGTAAAAGCAAACGTCAGTGGCTTGTGGTCTGTTATAATCGCGAAATTTCGTGCTTCGACCATGAAGCGGAAGTGTTTGATGGCTTCGTAGATGGAAAGAAGTTCGCGATCATAAGGGCTATACTTCCTCTGGCTTGGACTTAGCTTCTTGGAAAAGAATGCTAGTGGTTTCCATTCGTTGTCCTGGTATTGCTGCAAGACTGCCCCTATTGCTGAATCTGAAGCATCTGTATGAATCGCCAACTCTGCTTGTGAATCAGGGTGTACCAATAGTGTGGCTTCAGAAAGACTATTCTTGCAGTTATTAAATGCTTCCAACAGAGCGGGTGTCATGTTGATAGGTTGCGAACCTTTCGTCTTTGGACCAGCAAGCATTTGGTTCAGTGGAGCTTGAATGGTAGCTGCATTTGGGATTAAGCGGCGATAAAAGTTTACCATTCCAAGAAAACGTCTGAGTTCCTTGACGGTTTTTGGTGGAGGGAATTCTCGAATAGCCTGTACCTTTGCATCCAGTGGCTGGATTCCCGCTGCTGAAACCTTATATCCTAGGAAGTCGACCTCAGACTGCCCAAAAACGCCCTTGTTGGTGTTTATTAGAACGCCGTATTCCGTCAGTCTTTGAAAAAGTTGCCTGAGGTGTTGCTGATGCTGCGTGCTGTTGGAGCTGTATACCAGGATGTCATCCAAGTATCCAAAACAGAAGTCCAATCCCCGGAGAACCTCGTCCATGAAGCGCTGGAACGTTTGAGCGGCATTTCGGAGGCCGTAAGCCATGAACGGGAACTCATATAAGCCGAATGGTGTTGTGATTGCGGTCTTGCATACGTCAGCTTCAAAAACTGGTATCTGGTTGTAGGCTTTAACCAAGTCCAATGTTGAGTAGACAGTACTTCCGGCCAGCTGGTGTGTAAAATCCTGCAAGTGTCTGATGGGGTACCTTTACGGGATTGTGCGTGCGTTCAATGAACGGTAATCACCGCAAGGTCTCCAGCCATCGTTCTTCTTGCGAGCTAAATGCAGTGGCGAAGATCAAGGGCTATCGGATCTGCGCGCCGTGCCGTTTTGTAGCATCTCATCGAACTCCTGCTTTGCAATCTTCAGGCGCAATTTTTGTCATACGCGAGATACAAGCACACACGTATACATGCACACATGTATAATGAATAGTACGTCTATTATAGACTGTTGAAACACTTAACTTTTACATGAAAAATAAGAACAACAGTTTACATATCAAACAAAACTGCTTGCAATTTGTCCCAAAAAATATTACGCGCTTTTTACCACAATATTTTCGGAGGTTTTGTAAACGTTGTTTTTGGCACGGCAAACAATACAACAGATGATGTGATAAATCCTATGAGCACTGAAGCAAAATATTTCGCACTTCAAATAGCGTTGTAAGCATATTTAGTAAGAAATTTGTAAAGCTTATTTTATTTATTTAACAAGGGCGCTACTTATCTCATAATGAAATTTCTTCCAATAGGCCAGTTAAAAAGATGTGATAAATAAAAGATAATAACGTGTGCGCTTTGTTATTATATACACATACACACATACATATATTTAAGATAATATATTTATATACATATATATATATATATATATATATATATATATATATATATATATATATATATATAGTCATAATTAAATATTTATAAATAATAAAAAGTATAGTAAATATCAAAGCTAAGGAAACTTACATAGAAGACGGAGATAATAGTAAGTAGATAGTAAATATTATTCTTTTACACGTTTTTTGAACAATGTTACTGTTTTGATTTCTTGAAAGGGAGGAGGAAGTGACTTCCAGAGTCGTACTGCATGTACAGAGAATGAACGGCAATATGAATGAGCTTTAAAGGATTGGAATTTTAAGAGAGTTTTAAGGTGAGATCTACAAACTGCATCTGGAGATTTAAAAAAGGTAAATCGATTATGAAGGGAAATTCGGGCTATGTAAGATGTTAAAAAGAAGACAAAGGATACGGGTTTTACTAAATAACAAGTCACATCGTGTTAAAGATTAAAGAAGTAAATATCTAACTGTGGTCCGTCAATCCACACAATTTTTCTTATATCCTATATTAGTGAAAATTTCTTGATTAATTTTTCTTTTTCATCCATACTTACTGGGAGGTATTCCTTACCTAATTTCGCACATATGTATTCTGGTCCAAAGACAGTATCTTAGAGCTAAGGTTACAGAGCGTTGTCACCAGTTCGTTGCCTAGTGACAATGCGTCTGTAACCATCTTTGTAGTTTGTGTGTTGGTTGTAGGTATTCATGGGCTGCAGTAGCCACTTACCATCAGGTGGACTGTGAGTTCATACGTCACTTTAATTAAATAGAAAAATATTACTGGTAATGGGTATCAAGAAACATGAAAATAAATATAAAAATACATAACTTATACGTATATAAATATATTTTTTATAGACATATTACAAATAACCTAACTAATATTATACCTTATTCCTGATAAAAAGCATTCGCAATTTCTTAATACTCTTTCAGTTAAGATTTAACTTTTGTTTCCGCTATTTAGCAAAAAGCAATGCTGTTAAATGACATATAAATTAAAAAACTGCATGCGTATTTTAGTTTGATCATGCTTTTGTACAGAAATTTCAGAAAGTCGCGTCGTAATTGTTATAACTGTCTGCTATTACCCTGGGGTTCATTCTGTATTTGTACTGATGCTCGCTAGTTGCTGCAGTTACGTTTTTTAACAAACAAAGGGATAATGTTGTTCAGTTACAGCCTATATACACGTCCCACTATGGGCACAGGCTTACTTTCATTTCTGAGAGGGTTAATATTGTTCATCTAAATCAAGTTATAAAGCAACGGGTAACCGTGTAGTGGTGGTGTAAGAATATCCACTACCCCATATCATGTTCATTTGTCGTTTGTGTTCATTGTTCATTCAACGTATAATGATGACCCGTTTCAGGAAGATGCTGCTACTTATTTCCAGTTTCAATTCTCCTCTGTCACCTCCTATGACACGCACAGGATGAGATGGGGTAGTAGACATACTTGTATGACCACTAATATATTTTAAAATTTGAGGTTACAAATTTTATTCACTTATTTGTCGCCATTATGTTACACTTTAGTAAGCTATGGTTCTATGGGTGATAATTTGTGACGGTGAAATAGGAGAATTTATTAAACCATTTCTTCTCATGGGAAAAAATTGGTTGAGAAAGATCGTTATACCGCCATCCATAATGACCTTGATGGATGTCGTGTCCGTGTTCTTCTGTACGTGTGTTTCTGTGTCGTTATATTCCCCACCTAACCACGATTTCCACGGAGTGCGACGAATGTGGCGATACAAGTCAGCAGATTGGGATGAGATGCGGCATTTCGTTGCATCTTATCCTTGGCGGCAGGTCTGCTTCTCCTCTGGAGACCCATCGAGCTGCGCGGATGCCATAACCAATGTGATACGTCAAGCGATGGAGTATTTCATCCCCTTTGCTGACTTGCCCATTGGTGGTAAAGCTCGCCCTTGGTTTAACACCGAGTGCGCTCGAGCTGAAAAGCACAAGCATATGGCGTACTTATCCTAGGTCGATGCTCGAGACTGTAAAGCTCCGGATGTTAGCCTTAAGAAGAGAGCCTTTAACCAAGCCGCCAAGTCGTGCAAAAAGGCATTGCGCCAAGCCAGTTTCGACCGCGATTAAACGCATCGGCACAAAGCTCTCTGTCAAACCATCTGGCAGTAGAGCTTTTTGGTCTCTCGCCAAAGTGGTCGACACAAACTTCTGTCGGTCTACTCTGCCTCCGCTGTAAAACCAGATGGCTCACTGGCGCATGCGCCTAAGGAGAAAGCGGACTTATTTGCTTCTCTTTTTGCTTGCAATTCGCAGGAGCAACTTACACAGGGTTAACTTAAGTTTAGAAAAATTAAAGTGCAAACAGTAAGAAATTGTTTTGTGTTTACAAACCGATTTTTTTTTATTTGCAACGAAAAATAACAAGTGCACAAAAATAGTTGACAAAAATGATTGCGTCTAGAAATAACTTTAAAATGAAATTAATTATTATTCTATGATTTTTCAATGTATTTATAAAATGTATTTTAATTAAACTCACAGAAAAAACATACTTTTTGGGAATATCAAATGACTTTAATCATTTTGCATAATTCAAGTGTTGCCATTTACTATATTTATACTGTTTTCGTATAAACTTTGTAAAACTACCAACACAACAAACAAACACAAAAAAAAAAGTTATTATTAGTAATAACTATACTATAAGTAATAATAAAAATAAGAGTGATCAGGTTGAAAATAAGTATGTTACAAAGAACTTCCTGCAATAATACATTGTCTCAATCATAGTAATACATAACAATTCCATTTAATGTTATGGCAACACTAGCTAAAAATATGTCACTGTCACAGAATATTATTACGCATGTCACTGTATGGCACAAATTCTAAGAAGCCATACAAGAAATATACATTTATAGTTTGCAAATATATAATAGATAAACAATAATCTATAAAATCTAAATTATATAGGTAGGTACATTATGTTGAAAATGTATTAAGCTAACATCAGACAACCACAGGACGCATGACTTTTTTCAAGTGACATAACCTAAAAAGGTTCAAATCTAAATATCTGGTTTTTAACGCCTTCTCAGGACGAAATTTTTGTCAAAGTTACTCCAGAGACTGACGCATAAGATTTTATGTTTTTTTTGATTGTATATAGACGCTACTATTTCTTCACAATTAATTTTATGTATGAAAATCTACCTTTGTTCTTTGTGATACTGTGTAATGAATAACTTCACCACAGTCCCAACTAGCGTCATCTGGTGAGTAGTCATATATTAGCCGTCATTGCTGCATTACCCTCCAAGTTTGTACACTGTGATTTTTTTTCAACTTGTTATTATTATTAACAGAGCACGAGGGGGACGGAGCGTTGACTTCATTAGACGAGACCTCTCCAACTTAACGTTTAGGTTCAATGTGCCTCTAACCATTCGGTGATCGCTACCAGTTTTCACCCTCGCGATCACGGTGACATCACAGAACAGTTATCTCATTTTTTGTCGAACCGTCGGGGCTCGACTCTCGAGTTCATCATAGAGCGTCCCTCTTTCTCCATGAAGTCGACCAGTTGCTGGCCCCTTGGGTTCCGTTGCCCTATTCCAAATTTCCCTACTTTCAGCTCACCGTTTTTTCTTGTGCCTAGTTTTGCATTGAAGTCTCCCATTAACACCGTTGTTCGCGCAAAACTCTGTTGTCGGAATCGACACCAGATGTCACTCGGCTCGGCGCGATTCCGGTCTGAAGTTCTTCCGAGCGTCACAGTGGCGCGCGGGTCGCAAGCGAGTCAGTCATCTGCCAGATGTGCTAATGTTTGCACGCCTTTAATTTGTGCGGGAACCGCGGAATAGTTAGGGCGTCTAGTAAATATCCTGTCTAGGAATTATAACGCGCATTCCCTGTTTGGATAGCCTTTCCCGGGACTTATTGGGTCCGACTCAGAATCTGTATAAGTGCATTCGGCAATATAAGCTAGTGCGGCCTCGGTATTTAGAACTGTTGCCACGCGAAACGGTAGTGACCTTTGACCTAGAAACTCCGGGCGTGTTTTGTGCGGTAACCTTATACCCCGCGATAGTTAGTGGCTTCTGTAAGCTAGTTAATCGTACGATAGAGTTAAGTGACTGTCATCGTGGTGAACCAAGAAAGTGACTGTGGATAACCTCGAAAGGCCCCCTCAAGTTGGAGCGGTGTCGACGCTCGGGCTGCTGCCGACGGCTAAGGTCTAGGTTCAATCACCATCAGTCACACCCAGATACACACCACATCACCATTCTTTC